TTCTTACTTCTTCTATTGTCTGTCTTTACTCAATTATCAAAATTCATCACATACATACGTTTAAATAATGTGCTAGACAATCACAGCAATTATCTGTCCTCAAAATAGGACATTTCGTGTACCAGAGCAATTCACTCCGTGCCACTACCACTACACCCAAACTAGAACCAAATTAAAAAAGCTAATTTCCTACAGTGCAAGTGGCCCTACCGGTAATCGAACCAGAGACCTTATATTTAGCGTTCACATTGCAAACCGTTGGGCCACTGAGGCGATGAATTTATAATGAATATAGAATGAAATTTACACCAGCGTTACGATGTTTAAAAAAATTCGTAATTAGTCTGAAGTATAAGTACCTTAATTATAATACTTAATCAACACATAATTATGCAAATTCCGAGGACATTTTCACAAAAATCTATTACAAAATGTACAGCGCTACCTTTTGGCACTTTATTAAACTAATTGTAAATTCAGCTCTACAAAATTTTTCATCACCACGTTACTTCGTTCAAGTACAAACAAATTTCAATAGATGGCGCTTTTAATGAATTTAAAAATGTACACAAGTTAAAATTTTATTTATAAAAACAGCTTCCGCTATAAATTAACTCTAGGTCAAAAGAATAATAACTTTTATCTAGCACCGTTATTAAACAGCCAGTGATATAGGTACATGATTTTTTCAGCAAAGAACGTTTTTATTTCTTTCATTACAAGGTGTGAAATCATATAAAGTGTAGTATAAATGGAAGCTTCTCTGTGTAATGTTGATGAGACCTTAATTTTCCCGCCAAAACTAACTTGCTCAAATATTACTCGCGTGCCAAGCAAAATGACGGAAAGCATTAAATTGAATTCGTTTCACAGTGTCCACGTTTTTACAAGCTCTTATAGCCCTGCTATACGTATAGCGAACATGTACCTATTAAATAATTTTCCGTACGTGTAACATGACAACACTGATTTCTTCATTCATTCAAGTGACTGCACTTTTCAAAACAATGAAATACTGGATATATAAATATTCTTGTACACACTTCACAATAGTTATTATTTCGAATTCCTATACTATGTTTGACAAACGTGAGGTAAATTACGATGGATATTATCAATACTTCTCTTTGACAATGCATTGTGTAAAACTTTGATTACATCACTAAATTCTGACACCACTGTTGCTATAAACTAGGTTGCGGTCATTGTAGATCGGACAGACAATACGTTTTACCGCGCAAAAAGTCTAATTTAAATATAGAGTTCTACATTCGAACTTGACAACACTGACATTGTCGTGCGCTTGTTATTACCGACCAGTTTGATAACGTACGGCATTTTAGAAATAAAATCTACAGCGTGCCGGAAGGTGTTCTTTTTATGGTTTTTTATGTTGACGTATTAAAAACAAAAAGTGTTTGTCGTTCTATTTAAAAGAATTCTTTTGTTTTACAGTTAAAGGAAAACAAAAGACGTGGACTTTATTAAAATAAATTAATCGTAAGGTTTTCATAGCAGTGTTCTGTGCATCCTTCGTCGTAACTGAATATACGGTGAAAATAATGGCTAAAACAGTGGCGACAGATGAAATTTATAACAAAGAGTACAGAAGACTGAGGAGACTGACTAAAGATTTAGCTAGACATGTTTCGGTATGTTTTTTTTTGTATATATTTTATTCTAGAGCCTTTTAAAAATAAGGGTTTTATGGTTTTTTATAATAATAAATAACCCACATACTCATAGTTCCGCACTAGGGAAACCCTGAGTCGCGGGTGCCATGGACACACAAATAGACAAGCACAAATTACGCCCAAACTCACGAGAGAAATAAAATACGTAGGCCATACAAATATTTCTCCCGGGCCGGGAATCAAACCCGGGACCTCTGCATGGCAGACCAGCATGCCACTTTTCGGCCACTTAGGCAGTTAATTTTATTGTTTTAATTAAATAATTTTCATTGATAAGGACGCAGAAGACGTCAAAATTACAAATAATATTCTAGTATTACTTAAAAATGTCTTGTAAAATATTTAAGCAGCAATAGAACTCCTTTGGAAGGAGTCCATCCAGGGAATTGCCGCCATAGACTATTTCTGCCGCCAAACAGAAATATGAGCATTACTGCGTTCAGGTTTTGAAGGGAAGGGTGCTTGTGAACCTATGGGACTAGTCAAGTTTATGTCTCAGAGAGACGGGTGCAGTGGCAATGCCTCTCAGGTCTTAGCGATTTAAAGCTCTGAGTGGCACTTACTGTTATGGATCTGCACCGGAGGGGCAGAACTTGTTCTTCTCATCACTTCATTACTTGATAATCGTAAAGAAATATATAAGTTCATGGCTATATGTATTATTCACTTATTGTATAGAATACTTTCTACACGCCTGTCCAAAACAGTTGCAGTGCTACTCAGAGCTTTAAATCGCAAAGTTCTGACGGGCAATACCACTGCCCTGTCACCCTGAGACATACATAAGTTGACAAGTCCCATGTGCTTGTAATTTCAACAGCATTCTTACCCTTCAAAACCGGAACACAGTAATGCTGACATTACTGCTTGGCGCCAGAAATAGGTGGCAGTACTTCTTAAACGCTCACGCGATACATGCAGCCGTAGACGCATACCACACCTAGAGGTGCCGGTGATGATTTTATACCGATTTATCGAATATCGAAGTTATAACAGGTAAAAGAACTAATATTAATTGCTATTTCGGTAACTACTCTAGCAAACCATAAAGTTTTTAATGCCTGGGTCTGTCATTAAAAAAAAATAAACAACTTCAAAAATACGTCACGACAATCGTGTGTGTTATTGTTTGTTGTGTGTGTTGTGTTATTGAAAACATACCGTAAGTAGCGTTTTTAAGTTTACCCCATTGACTTACAATTATATGGACGTCGGGTCCGCGCTAAAAAGTGTCCGCACTTGTAAGGCGCTAATATCGTATACAGAGCGCGACACTCCGCTTTAGTTTTCATTTGTTCTACGGACAGCGCGATACTGCGATGACATAACAATTTAAATTTGGAATAGGTTGACTTGGGACATTTTTTTCGTGGTTTTTGTATTAGACCCGTCGTCCATTTATTTGTAAGTCAATGGTTTACCCTGAATATAAATGTTTATAAACTATACTTTAAGGAGTAATTTCATGGTAAACGTTAGAACCACTCAAACGGAATATTATCATATTTATCCAAGTACACCAAAAATTTCATTAGTGCTTTTTAAGTGCAGGATTTGCGGTGTATTACTGCATTTTATTTGAGATGTTTTTGTCGGTAGTACGGAGGGTATTTATTTAGCAATGCAGAATAACAATTTTTATTTATAAAAACTTGTATTTAAACTGAATGCTTTTCTAATTTCTCTGTGGCCGAACGGTTACCATGCCGGACTGCCACGCAGAGGTCCCAGGTTCGATTCCCGGGCCGGGAGAAATATTTGTATGGCCTACATTTATTTCTCTCGTGAGTTTGGGTGTAATTTGTGGTTGTCTATGTGTGTCCATGGCACCCGCGACACAGGGTTTCCCTAGTGCGGGGCTATGTTGAGTGTGTGCGTTATTATAAAAAAAAAAAAAAAAAAAAAATTGCGAAACCAAATAGCCGCCATTTTGCGGTAGGATGAGCGCATCGCGTGAGCGGTTAGACAAATATCATTTGTAATTACCAATTGTTTTAATTACTCACTTATTTTTATAAGGAACTATTGTGACACTTGGACGTGCATAAAATATTATTCTTAACACTCAAGCACTTTGTACTAGCACATTGCTTTGTGCATCTACATTTATCGTTATACATTGACTAATGCACGTTATAGACTATCTAGATCATGTGTATATGTAATAGACTTTATTTCATGAATTCACTGATTGTTTTAGACAGTGTATAGAATATTTAGGTATTGTAAAGTCAATGGTATTGTATAAAATACGATAACGTATGTAACTATAGGTATAAAAATGTGTTGTAAGATGAATCTATTCGAAATACTCATTATAGCATTATATTTCAATAATCGAGTATTCATGTAAGAATACGGAGACAACAAAAAGATCATTGAGTTTGTGATCGTATTTATATCTCTATACTTGTATATAATGTCATTGTAACGTTTGTAAGCCATTGGGAGAAAATAAATTTCTATTCTGTTTATGATAACGAAATAATTTTAGCAAAAAGTAATTTGAAATTCGTCTATAAGTTAGGCGGGGTTAATACGACATTTGTACAAAGGTAACCCTATTTTTATTATTTTAATAAACTAAAAGGGATGAGAAATAATTGTAGAAAGAAAGTTACATACGTGGTTAGAATATAAATATATCCATAACTAATTGCAAAATCAACCATATCTTCACTGATTACTACAAACAATAATAAATTAATATAATAAACAATTAAACGGAGGAATGTTGCTATAGGTTAGACTAAAATACTGACAAAACATTCTTAAAATTTAAAAAAGTTAATTTAAAAAAGATGTTATGTAGTATATTTGAAATATATTACTTATAAGAAAAAAACAGTTCGACAATATATTATAATGCCGTAATTAAAATTTCATTAACGAATTTCTTCATCAAAAATGACCAGTTCTGTCAACAGTGTGTTATAGTTACAGAATTTTTTGAAGCGCAATTTTTTCCATATTAAAATAAATTTGCTTCATTACGTGCTTTCTTATTTGTGTAGTGGGACGTTTTTATGGCAGCCAGTATAACAATAATAATATCTTTAATTTTTAACCATATACAATATATTTGTAACTTTTAAGCGCTGTTAATACTGTAGTAAGCATATTGTGGTAGACTGATGTGTAAACTGGGCTCACGACTTCTATAGGTATTATAACTCCCTAACTAATTTCATTATTTTCCTATTGTGGTTTTATTAGTTTCCTTGTCAGAATTCTTGAGTATTCAACAGTATTCAGATGTATTTTTAACGTTTAAGTGGTTTTAATATGCGTTTTTTCTCTTTACAGTCCGAATATGGCCTTACGGAAGAGCAAGTTGCAGGTATGTTTTTTTTTTCTAAACAAAAAATTTATGCTTTAAGATAGTGACAATTAAAAATATAGTGAGTTTTTTATGCCCTTATAGCAATTGTTCATACGTGTTAAGTGTTAAGTGTGTTAAGACAACGGAGAGATACTCTTGCAACACAATGACAGTAAAAAACCAACCTAAAACACACAGAAATAAAATAAATTGTATATTAAACCTGGTGCATCAAAATATTCAAGGCATGAAAGGCAAAGAGTTAGAAATAGAATTATTTATTAACTGTAATAATATTGATATTCTTTGTATTACTGAACACCACTTTCTATCAAAACATCAGTTCATGTTTAGCTTCAACAATACCAGGTGGCTAGTTCGTTCAGCAGAGAAAAAGCTATTCATGGCGGCTCTTTAATTCTTATTAAAAATAATTTAAAATTTAAAGAACGTACAGATATTGTGAGCCTATCTATTGAGCGGACTATAGAGATATCCTGCATAGAGCTTGAACCGCTTGTTATATTAGGCGTGTACAGACCCCCTCATTCATCTTACGAACTATTTGAAAAAAGATTAGATGAAGTTTTAGGCAAATTAAATAATCCAAATAAATATATTGCTGTTTGTGGTGACTTCAATGTTAACTTATTAGAAGATTCCAGTGCTAGCAGTAGGCTCATATCATTTTTCCAATGTTATAATCTTGTGAATCTTTTCTTGGTGCCTACTACAATAACTTCTACTACTGCCACTTGTTTAGACAACATTTATAGTAACGCCATACCTAGTAATAAATCTATTATAAATAAATTAACTTTGAGAAGTTAATTTATTTATAATAGATTTATTACTAGTGATCAGTCACTGCGGTCAATTGGCCATTTTTAATATAACTGTTGACAAAATGCCAAAAAAGGATATCACATGTGTTCCGATAAATAATGGTCGACTTAAAGCTTATAGAAATAATGTAATGCTTAAACTAACTGACATTCCGTACGTTAACGATCCCAATAAATTGTATAATTCAGTTTTCCACACAGTGAAAAGTGAACGTGATAATGTTTTTAGGTCCAAAATCATAACTATTAATAATTAATTGAAATTTAGTGATTAGGCGACTGTGGGAATTCACAAAAGTAGACAAAGGCTATATGATCTTTACGATGAACTTATAACACTAGTTATAGTTTTAATGATTTTGTTAGGAAATATTCGAAAATGTTTAAACGTGTTTGTGTTACAGCCAAAGCAATGTTTATAAATAATAAAATAAAAAGCAGCGCGAATGTAGTAAAAACGACTTGGAATATTATAAACAGCGAAACTGGAAGGGTCAAACCTCGTAACTTAGATTTTCAACTAATTTTAAATTTAATTACAAAATTGTAAACACACGCAGAAGTTGCTAAAATATTTGTAAAATTTTTTTTACTGACATTCCAATTTTGACTACTAAGTCGTTAAATTCATCTCCCACCGCCGCTGAATCCTTACTAAAAGAAAATAATGCAGTTAGTATCACTAATTTAAGGTTCCGTCATGTATTTCCAAATGATATTGTTAAAGCCTTTAAGTCTATAAACATAAAAAATACTGCTGATCTTGATGATCTTTCGGTCAGAGTAATTAGTTCTATAGTTGATTGTATTGCGCCTTACTTAGCCTGTGTCTGATGATGGTGTCTTTCCTGACCTCATGAAGCAAAGTAAAGTTATACCACTTTTCAAATCTGGTAGTATTTCTGACCCCACCAATTTCAGACCTTTATCAATACTACCAACTCTCAGTAAAATATTTGAAAAAATTATTCTAAATCAGATGTGATCAGATTTTTATAGTAATAACTTAATGTCTCCTAAACAATTTGGTTTCACTCGGGGTCGCTCTACAACCGACGCTGGTGTAGAGTTGATTAATCATATATTTGATGCATGGGAAGTCTCACATGATGCTGTTGGTGTATTGGACCTTTCCAAGGCTTTTGATTATGTGCACCATGATACACTGATCAGGAAACTTCGCCATTATGGTGTGGCGGGACGTGATCTCGACCTTCTTAAATCGTATTTGCGTGGTAGGGTGCAGAGCGTCGATGTTAACGGTACGAGATCATCAGGGTCTGCAATTAGCATGGGTGTCCCTCAAGGTTCAATTCTAGGCCCATTTTTGTTTTTAGTTTATATTAATGACTTACCTAGCCTTATGGAGGGTATAAAACATGAGATAGTATTGTTTGCTGATGATACTTCCTTATTATTTAAAGTTAAAAGGCACCAATGTTCCTACGACGATGTGAACAATGCTATATCTAAAGTAGTTGAATGGTTTGCTGTTAATAACCTACTTCTTAATGAGAAAAAAAAAATTGTGTGAAATTTACATTACCCAATGTTAGAGAGACGGTTACAAACATTGTAGTTAGAAACGAAAAATTGAATCTTGTGGACACAGTTGTATTTCTAGGTATAACGGTAGATGCTAAATTGCAATGGGGTCCCCATATAAGTAAGTTATCAAAACGGCTCGGCTCTGCAGTGTACGCGATTAAAAAAATTAGGAAACTTTCAGACGTCGAAACCGCTAGATTGGTTTACTTCAGCTACTTTCACAGTCTAATGACATACGGCATTTTGCTTTGGGGTAATGCCGCCGATATCAATAGAATCTTTGTCCTGCAGAAACGTGCAGTTAGGGCAATTTATAATCTGGGACCCAAAGTATCTTTGCGAGATAAGTTTAAGGAAATTAACATTAAATTAACTTACACTAGCCTCACAGTACATTTATGAAAATGTAATTTATGTTAAAAGGAATGGTAATTTCTTTATGAAAAATAGTGACAGACATAACATTAATACGAGGAATAAAAATAAACTAGCTTTTCTTGATAGTCGCCTTCGCAAAGTCAAAAAATCATTTAAGTAAAGCAAATGTATACATATATAAATATTACGTATGTAAATGTATAAATGTATACAATGTATACGCTTCTATAACAAGATTCCTGTTGATATACAAAATTTGCCTTTCACGAGGTTTAAAACTATAGTGAAACAAAAACTTTGTACTAAAGGTTATTATACAACTTTTGCGTACTTGGATGACAAAAATCCGTGGTAGTACCCGTTTAGCTCATGGAGGTAGTCTCGATCTCTGATATTTCAAATTTAAAAAAAATATTGTAAATGTTATTTAAAAAGAGCAACCCCTAGAGTTTCTTGCTCATTCCTCTCAGGGGAATCGGCCTTACGAATGAGCGGTAGAGTTTAACCATAGAGACGATTATTACTAATGCTTACTAATATTTCATAAATAAAGATTATTTTGAATTTGAATTTGTGTAAATTCAGCACATTATTCCGCCAGGATGACTATCGTGTGGGACATACTTTTTACTGTTGCATTTTTAGCAGGTTATACACATTACGCTGTCATAATAACGAAATAATTTTAAATGTATTCTTGAATAAAATAAAAGATTTTGTTCTAAATATAACGTAATCAGTAAATATTAAATTCAAAATCCGACGTGGAAAACATTATTGTTAAGACGTCTATTAAGATAACAACACACGTAGTTTAGACAAGATGCCGTTAGATGAAGTTAAACCGTTTTTGAGTATTTTCTGTAGCGCGCTATTAAGTCATACCAAAATTGTATTTAGAAATTATTAAACGTTCCAGTGGCAATTGGAACGTTTTTTTCGTTTCGCTTGGGTATTATTGGGGTCTTTTTTAAAAGAAAATCCTGATACTCTCGCGTCAAGTTTATATAACTTTATTACCAGCGGAACTCTTGAAAGCCGGCTCATTCAAAAATGCCACAATAAGGCACTTTACCGTAATGACGACATTCAGAAGCCACAAAGCAAAAGTTAGGAAACTGCCCTTCAATGGCAACATTGTAGTTGACGAAGGCGAACAAATGTCTCTAAACGACAGAAAAACGGGGAAAAGTTCGAGAACTATAGCAACCAGAAGGAAGCGTTCATTTTCAGGTCTTCATATATTTTTTGTGTGGTAATGGAGAAATAAATGAATGTACATTTTTTTATTTTTGCAATGATTTAGTTAGATACGACCTAGATAAAACGTTTATTCATCACAAATGTGATGTAACAACAAACATGTAACAACAAACAGTCACTTCACGCAAAATAACAAAATAAATTAGTACACATATTCACAGAGACATTATCTGCAATAGTTTGTGCTGAAATAACAACTGGAAATTATTGTTAACACTGAATAACCGATTGATTTTCTCTCGTTTCGTACTTAATTCCGCTTATATTATATTTTTAAGTACGTAAATTGAAATTTAAGGGTCGATATTCTTATATAGATATATTTCTAAAGTAGCAGCATGCTTACAACATTCCGATTTTTGTACGACGCAAAAAGTTCACCGCTTTTATCGTTATATCAAAATCAATGAATTTTCACGTTTCTTTTAATGAACTATGGCACGCAACTCATTGGAACAGTCGTCCTACAAAAACTTTAAGGGCAGGTTGCATAACCAACCTTTGTTTTTTGCAGAGTTCAAAGAAGCTTTCATGCTATTCGACAAGGATGAAGATGGGACCATCACGATGGCTGAGCTTGGCGTCGTGATGCGCTCTCTCGGGCAAAGACCTTCTGGTACGTATAGTTTTTTTTTTTTTGAAGACGGAGTAAAATGACGTTCTCAGGGTCGTATTCCAGAACTCTACTCAATGTTCAAATCAGGATTTGAGCAGACTTGAGAATGATTTCAAGCACTGGAAATACGACCCTAATGGCAAGGACTTGAGTATGATTTTCAGTGCTCACTGCAATACTCAAGTCCTGACTTGAGTGTTGAGTAGAGTTCTAGAATACGACCCTAAGTCTCCTGGCTCTGAATTCAACCAAGCCTAAAGTTTTTAATTTGTATTTCCCTGAGCCATCTCACAGGTGGCTGCAATACTCTATACAAGACTGGATTTGCGCACTTGCGTAAGGTACTCATTCCAATTACTCATAAAGTAATTAGAATGAGTAATTAGCTGCTGATAAATTCGGCAATTTGTAACGAACTTGAACTACAAGTACACGTACTTCCGCCTGATTAGTTCGGCTCTCTGTTGTAGATAACTTAATCTAGCACTATAGTACCGGCACGCTATGATAGCCGTATTGCCAGATTACAATAGTGAGGTCAAATCTCAATTCATTATCGAAAAAAATATAATCAAATGCGAGTCGCATCTTTAAGTTTTTAGATTTATAACTAATATTGCACGGGCTAGCTGATTAAAAAGTTTTAATAAAACGAAAATAAAAATTTATACTTTTACTTAGTATATCGTCAATTCGAAACTACTTTATTTTGCATTGAGCTTTGACGCGGGTGTGCCGGAAGTAGAAGTTGTGTTGGGAGTAGAGTTCTGGAATACGACCCTTAGAGTTGCCGGTTTTCATAAAATTTGAAATAGATACGTAGTTGTTGTCGATTGTTTTATCGATATGTTGTTGTAAAATTTTGCCGAACATGCCGCAGACGTTCTAATGATTACTTATTACGTTATTGCCTTCTTTATTCTTATTTTGACACTTGGCCTACTAGTATCGAGATCAATTTTTATTCATTTATACATTTTAACAAGAATAGCCGGATTTGATTATCTATATTAAATTAAAATGAAAAACTTTAAGATATGTCTCCTCTTGGTATTTTTCTAAATACAGTGTATGTATGTATGAACTTACAAAAATTGATAATTCAAATGAACTCGAACTCACTAATTGAATGAATAATGGGTCGAGGCTAATTGGAATGAAATAAGTTCGGCTATTTATTCCATAAACGTGACAAATATTCAGTCGATAGTCAATGGAATATTTTATCGACTGAAATCACTAGCTGCTCTCAAGCGGGCTATACTTGTGTGCAATAAACTGTCATTTTACTCCGTTGCCAAAAAAGACAGACTGTAATATTCGATTACTTTAAATTTTCTTACGCTCAGTTATGTAGGCGATGTTATAAACGCTTACACGTTGCAAGTTTCTTAGCACGTTATCATAGAGCTTGTTACCGCTCTGAAGTAGCAGGAGAAGTGCAAAATAATGCGATAATACGCAAGATAATTGTTTCCCTGATGCATCACGTGGGTGAAAATTTCAATAGCCTCGTGCGTTTTATTTGAGTGTACCATGCTTGGGAAATATGGAAGCATTGAAACTCGGTTCAAATGAATTCCAGAGGCTTAATATAATTTAGAGCGGTGACACATGGCGACTTTAGCAGCGATGCAAATGCGATACAGTAGATCGTTACAGTCACTTACAGTTGCGATCTACTGTAAGTGACAGTACTACAGTCGTTAATCGTCTACCTTTACACACACGCGCAATTTTAAGCAGCGATGCAAAACCGATGCAAGCACGCCACTGCACCGCTACAAACACGCGATTGCACCGCTAAACTTGGGATTCGTAGGCGATTACATCGATGAAATCGCGCGTTTGTATCGATGCAATCGCCTATAAAACCACTCTTAATATAATACATGAAAAGAACTCGGGATCGCATAGGTGTAGTTTGTGTTTACAGAGGATGCATTAAAAAAATACTTTATTCTTAACATAACACACTATAAAAGTAACTTACCTGGTGACATAGAACCCTAACATAGAAGAGTGGGGTCTCCTAGCACAATCAATTATTTTGATTCAATGGAGTTCCCCAGTAAACTGACTGTAAACTAGGTTTAAGTGAACGTAAATAGACACTTTTTTCTGTCTAGAGCTTTCCAGCTTTCCAGGTCAACACCCAGGAGTAACTTAATAACTTTGGAGAATCATCGACGTGTTATAATTAGTTGCTTCCCTAAAATGCTAAGCTGAGTTTTAAATGCCAGTGCGTAAGCCTATGACTGTTATTTATTTATTTTATTTTAACCAAATTGGAGCGTAAACGCCCTGTGTTTCGGCAACCAATACAATTTCGTTATTTTGACTTAACGCCCTGGATAAAGATAATGGACGTAATTTCTTCTGAAATGGCTTGCACTCTGTTTGGTTCTTATCCCACCTGTCACAATGGCTGTTATTCAATGCATTGATTATTAAAATATATAACTTGAATACTACATAGAATAGGTAAGATGATACCGAATAGTCCATCTTGTGGTTTGAACGCGGTTTTTATTGATAGGTGTCGTAAGTAAGACTTTGATATTGTTATAATATTCCTTATTTATGGCGAGTGGCAGCGACTTAGTTGTATTAGTTGTACATGAACAATATTCAAAAAGTAATTACAACATTGGAGAATATAGCTCTTTGGCTGTAGAATACAATTTGTTTCATCTGACTGTCACTAGTTTTTACGTAGTGGCGTCATTTTAGAAATTGGTTGTCTACATCATCATGGATTTAACTCGTGAAAATTTTCGTAGTATGATTTTCTACGAATCTAAGTGTAACTTAACAGCTCAGCGAAGCTTCGCTTGGCTTGAAACTGCTTTTGGCGATGAAGCACCATGCAAGACGACTATTTATAGCTGGTTTGCAGAACTCAAACGCGGTCGTATGAATCTCAGTGACGAATTTCGTGATGGTCGCCCGTCCACTGCTGTGAACAACAAAAATATCGATGCTGTGCGCCGTATGATCAAAACAGACAGTCATGTGACATACCTACCATGAGATTCGGGCATGTTTAGGCATAGACATGAATTAAATACAATCAATACTACACAAACATTTGGGTGTGAAAAACCTGTGCTCTCGGTGGATCCCACACAATTTGACTGAGGCTCAGAAAACGGATCGCGTCACTTGGTGCAATGCCATGCTTACCAGATTCAACGAAGGCACGTCAAATTTGGTGTGGAAAATAGTAACAGGTGACGAAACATGGATTTATAGTTACGATCCCAAAACAAAGCAGCAATCGCGCGTATGGGTCTTTCGAGATGAGCCGAAACCAACCAAAGTGGCGCGCGTGCAAAGTGCCTCTAAGCGGATGATTGCTTCTTTTTTTAATAAAACTGGACACGTGGCTACTGTTGCTTTGGAGAATCGTTGTCCCGTGAATAGTTATTGGTACACGACCATTCCCTTGCCAGTACTCACACGGCCAGACAGATAAATGAATTTTTAAAGGAGAACAACGTTGACCTTATGAGCCATCCCGCGTACAGTCCCGACCTGGCACCTCGCGACTTTCATTTATTTCCAAAAACCCGTTACGCGATCAACGATTTTCATCACCTGAAGAGGCTGTCGAAGAGTATGAAAAATATGTTTCAGAGATTGTCACGGAGGAGTGGCAAAAATTGGTTCATTAGTATGAAAAAGTGAATTAACGCTAACGGAAAATATTTTGAGAAACAATTAATTCATTTCTGACCATTCATAATATTTTTTTTGTTATTCATTCCGGAAACTTATAATGCGCCCTACGTACAGTGACAGTGACACTCAGATCTTTGTGATTGAAAGCTCCGAGTGGTACTGCAACTGATATGGACAGGCGTTTAACTTACCACCAGGTAGGTGACTTGTTCGTCTTGTCATTTGATCTCATAAAAAAATCAAATTCGCTTACTCAAATGATTTAGTACAATAACAATATCATAAAAAAGAAAAAAAAAATTTGTACATTTTCCTAAACATTTTAAAGATGAATTTGGTTGAAAAAAATACCAAACAAAATATCATAGACACAACATAACTCATCATGATAACTGCCGAATCACTGCCAAGCATCAGGCACTAAGAATAATAAACAATCTAATAATAAACATTGCACAATGACTCCGTTTATTTTGTCCCGCCACATCGAGTTTTTAATTTTAAATAAGACGTAGAAGGTTTAACAAAAAGCTTCGCATAAGTCTGGATGGCGTTCACTATTTATGCACCTTTTAAATATAAGAAAGATGTCTTCCCCTGGAACAACAACCAATCACGTCATAACCTAAACATTCTGAAACGTAGTCACTTGTTTCAAATTCAACATCAGACTGCCTTTCGAATTATACGATCAGGTCTCTGGTAAAATTACAAACACATGGGACTTGTCAAGTTATGTGTCAGGGTGACGAGCGCAGTTGTAGTGTACCTTAGATCTTTGCAATTTAAACCACTGAGTGGCACTGTAACTGTTATGGACAGGCGTGTGGCTTGTCATCAGGCGCACGACTTGTTCGTCCCATGTCACTTGAGGTTATTAAAAAAAAAGTTTTTTATGATGGGAGTAATGGGATAAGGAAGTCGTGCTCCTGTTGATAAGCGACACTCCTATGTGATCTGAGCATCACCCTGAGACATAAGATGAAAAGTCCCAAGTGCCTGTAATTTCACCAGCGCCTTTAAAAACGAAACACGGTAATGCTGAGTCTCCCTGGCGACAGAAATTTAATAGCAGTAGAGCTCCTTGTGAAAGAGTTCGTCCAGGGAAGTATTGCCCCCTTACCTATTTCTGCCGCCAAGCAGTACTGTGAGCATTACTGCGTTTCGCTTTTGAAGGGTAAGGGTGCTGGTGATATCACAGGCCTTCACAAGGAGCTCTACTGCTGGTAAATATAGCACAATCTTGAGTGGCAGGTTCTAATTCGATGTCTATGACTTTTTTAAATTTGAGTATGACATTACGTGCATTTGGCATG